TGTCTTTTGTCTCCTTTCCCTTCCTGGAATGCACCCTCTCCTTCCTGATAGCCTTGCTCTCCCACCACATCACCCTGCTCTTTGTAGATACATTCCATCACAGATTCTCCTTCCACTCCTTGCATCAATTCTCATGCTGGCTGGAGGGTCCATCCCTCTAGAGCAGCTGTTCAGAAGCGGACTACGAGGGGAAGGCTGAACCACTAAGATCAAGTCCCCATCCTTTTCCCCATCACAAGTAGAATGCTCCTAAAATGCCAAAGTCAATGCAGTTCCACGGTTTCTGTTGCATTCATAGTTCCTTCTTTTTGGGGGGAGGGGGGCCCTTCAAGTCAGTTTTTTTTTTCTTTTTACTCCTGGTGACTGCCTCAACTACTCCCTGCAGTTTTCTTGGCAAGGTTTTTCAGAAGTGGTTTGCCCTTGCCTCTTTCCTAGGGCTGAGAGAGAGTGACTAGCCCAAGGTCACCTAACTAGCTTTGTGCCTAAGGTGGGATCAGAACTCATGGTCTCCTGGTTTCTAGTCTGGTGTCTTAACCACTACACCAAACTGGCTGTCTCATAGTTCCCTAGATAAAGAAAAATATGTTTCTGCAAACTGGCAATAATTTGCCAGGCTATATTGATTTCTGAGGTATAATGGATAGGGGAAGGGAATTAATTTTTCATAATGATATTGGAAGCCTGCCACTTGCATTTAGTTTGTTCTTTTTTTTACCATGTATCTTGTGGAGTGTTTTTTCCCCAATTCTGGAGAATTTGGATATGTATTGAGACATATATTTGGATGTATACTGAGACATTTATTTCTCTGCAGCCTTTGAAAATGCATTGCACAAGTTGTGCTCTAGTAACAAGCTCTGGACACCTTTTGCGAAGCCAGCAAGGGAACAGGATCGATCAGACAGAGTGTGTAATACGAATGAATGATGCGCCTACACGGGGATTTGGAAAAGACGTTGGAAACAAGACAAGCTTGCGAGTTATAGCTCATTCCAGTATCCAGAGAATTTTACGAAATCGAAATGAACTGTTAAATATGAGTCACGGGACTGTATTTATCTTCTGGGGCCCAAGCATTTACATGAGAAGAGATGGAAAAGGATTAATTTATAATAATCTACAACTGATGAATCAAATACTACCTCAGTTAAAAGTATATATGATATCCCGACACAAAATGCTTCATTTTGATGACCTCTTCAAACAGGAAACTGGAAAAGACAGGTATGAAAAAACTGTACAAGAATAGATTTTAAAAATATTCCTATATTTAATAGAACAATTACTTGAGGCACATGCTCTCAATTGGAATCTCTCTGTAGACTGTAGGAGGAAAGCCATGTTAATATATGGTGGCAAAAAATCAGGAGTCTGGTAGCACTTTTTCCAGCTAACACTTTTATTAGACTGTTAAGTCGCCTTTTGTTGGTATTGATATGTAGATTGACTGCTTCCTTTTTTTAAAATATAATTATTAAGGCTTTTAATTACAATAGTAAAATCTAATACAAACTAAAAGAAAGAAAGAGTAAATGGTGCAAAGGAAAAGGAAAAAAAAAATAGAAAAAAGTAAGAAAAGTAAAAATATAGTAAAGAAAGAAAAAAGAAATATGTAAAGAAGTGACTTCTAACCTTCATTACAAGTATAAACAATTTTAGTAACTCTTCACCCCTTCTTAGTTTACAACCAATGTTCTCGTCATCCCATATCCCATCTCTTATCTATACACAAATCCATAAAGCATCACCTTTTCAGTCCTGGTGTCAGCAGAAAGTCCATTAAGGTTTACCAGAAATAGCAACATATCTTATTTTAACCTTGATCAAATAAACCAACTTTATAGTCCTTCTTTTTACTTCTAACAGTCTTAATCTTTAGTTCATTCAAATAATGTTGTAAAATTTGATTTCTTTTCTTTTCATTTTTTCTTTCTCCTTTCTCACAAGATTCTTCAAAGCTTTAATAAGCCTCTTCAGTAAATCCAATTGAAATATATATATATCCAGGTCACTCTTTTGGTTTATTATTTGTATTTCCCTTTTGATTTTTGAAACATCAATTGGTTTTTTTTGTATGACCAGCGAGACATCCTTTTTCATATCATTCTCGTAGCTGTCATTTATAGATCCACTTTTGATGCCGTCTCTGTCTTGTCAAATAAAACTTGTTCTTCATCTGCCATTTCTTCCTGTTTCTTTTGGACACAGTCTATCCATAGACGCAAGCATCAGTATTGACATTGTTGATACTAACTTCTAATTCCATTTTTCAAAAGTGTTCTTCAGTATTTTCAATGTTATAATGTTTTGCATCATTTTATAAATCCCAGTTAAGTAGCTGTCAATCAGACATGTATTTTTCTCTTTTAACTAAAATCTTTAGGTCCGTCTAGTATCCAATTTTTAAAATTGCTTATCTTTATTGTGTCTTGCTAAAAGTCCAAACAAATCTATTTCCCATGGGAAGGATTTCTTATAAATAATTCCAAAATCTTATTCCAAATTTGTCTGGACCCTTAATCCATTTATAACTTTCTAGGATCAAAGTCTTATTTAGCTTTTTGCTGTTTATTTAGTTTTTTTTTTAATTCTTAAGCTTATGATTAAAATTTTTCTTTTGTTAAAGATTGAAGGCAAACTCACCCAGCATTTTCAGACTTGTCGATCCGAAGGTCTCTAATAGCTTAAAAGTAGTTAACAACCAATTTCTGAATGTAATTAGAAAAGGAAGTTTGAGAACTTAGTGTCCTTTAAAAGGTACCAATTGCAGTTGTCAGCAAGATGGCTATTCCCATTATCTCCCAGTGTTGTCTTGCAGTCTCCTTGTGAGGAGCAACTGTTCAAAGTGCATGTGGGTGATCTCCCATCCTCTCTTTGTCTGGAGAGCTTCCAAAGAGCTGGTCTACTTACCAGCTTTTCGTTCTTTGCTGCAGTCATTGACTCCGCTTTTTGCAGAGCTGTCTTCAGTCCACCATTTCTTCCTCCACAAGTCAATATGTATATTGACCTCTTCCAGTGTGTTTGCCAGATATGCTGTTCCCCAGATTTTCTGGCATAGCTTGGTTAGAACCTTGACTGATTCTTCTTCTGTTGTTTGCCATATATCTGTAGATATTCCATCAAAACCTGCAGCCTCTTAACTTGGTAATGACCGGAGTGCTGATCTAACTTCACCTTTACATATTTTGTTGTAATTCTTTTCTTTTCTAAGAGCTGTCTAAAATTCTTTCTTAAAGTTTCTTCCTGAGATTTTTGTCTTTCCTGGGTATGGTTTCTCTTCTTTTCCCTTCTTGGCAATTTTCATGGTTTGTTCTGACATCCAGTTTTTTTTATTCTGTGTGTGTGTGTGTGTGTGTATTTTATTTTTGGCAGTCTGTTTTCACATTCATCCTTAACAGCCTCTTTAAGTTTATTCCACAGTTCCTCTGATTCCTGATCAATGAGGTTCAGGATTTCAAAGTGATGCTGGGTGTTTTCCTTGAAAATGGTGAGTATGTATTTAAGACCATATAGTAGAAACTGGTTGCCTTTCTTCTGCTGCTTTAGCTCAACTTGGAACTTCCACATGAGCAATTCATGATGTATTTTGCAATCAGCCCCTGGTCATGTCTTTGCTGTTACAAATGAGCTCTTTCCACCACCTTCTACCAATAATAGAGTCAGTTTGATTTCTGTGTATCCCAACTGGTGGTGTGTGTGTGTGTTGTTTTAGTTGTTTGAAGATTGTGTTAGCAATAAAGGAATCATTGGATTGGCGAAACTGATAAGTGTTCTCTTATTTAATTTTGGTTTCCTAGGCCATACAGTCCAACTACATTTCCCTCCTTAATATTTCCAGCTTTGGCATTCCAGTCTCCAAACCACATCTTGGTTGGATGTTCTGTCAGTTTCAAATTGAACTTCATCATAAAACTTGTCACCTTCATCTTCTTCTACCTCAGTGGTTGGAGCATAAAGTTGAACAATTGTCATAATCAAGGGTTTTCCACAAAGTCTAACAGATATTATTTCATCATTGATTGCACTGTAGCTAAATACTATTCTTGATATACCCTTCCTAATTATGAAAGCAATGCCATTCTCTCTTTGTTTTTCATGTCCTGAGTAGTAAACACTATGATCTTCTGAGTAAAAGTGTCCAATTCCAGTCCATCTTAATTCACTGATGCCTAAGATGTCAACATGCAGTCAATTCATCTTTCACTGTATTGTGCTTTCCTATAGTTGTGCTTCTTACGTTTCATGTTCCTATCATAATTCTGTCTTTGCAGCTTTGAGTTTTCCTTTCCTGCATGACAACATCAGCAACTAGATGTTCTAAAGGCTTTAATTATCAGGCCAGCCCAAGAATGACAATGAGGTAGTCCGGTCCAGTATAGTTCTTTTATTAGCTTGCACCTAATAGAATCTTGCCAGACTAAACCTATGCTAAAGCAACTAGTGGATATATCCTGTGAGACTTTAGGGAGGGGCTAATTTCATCTTCTTCATCTTCTCATGGTCCTGCTGCAGGCTGAGGAAGCGCTTGCCCTGTAACCTTTCCAGGAATGCTCCCCCTCCCTCCTGATAACCTTGATCCTCCTTCCAGTATCCTCCTCACACATGCCTTCCATTACATCAATCTAGCCAAATCATATACACCATTAGTATTCCGAAAGATCCTTAGCTCTTCCTCAGTAGCTTGTTGACTACCATCTGAACTGAGGGGCCCATCATCTGGTACTATATCATTAATCATTTTATATTTTCTATCCATGTGGCTTTCTTGGTAAAATACACAAGTGATTTACCATTGCCTTCTGCTGTGCAATATGAGATGGTGCCTTTAGATGATTATCTAAAGTGATAATCCACATCCAGTATTTTCCTATATTGCTGTTGCCCAGTATAGATGCCTGTTTGCTTTAGCTGGGCAGCTGGGATGACCTTCACACCTTGGATGACCCTGCTGGGAATATATACTGTTGGTATATGCTCTTGGTGTTCGTCACTCATCTTTCTCACGATCATCCCCCTGCACAATGAAGCAGCCCAGCAGGACTGGGTGGGTGGGGGGAGTATGGGTTGTAACTTACTAATATTGTTTGAGCTGTGAGCTGTAGATGACAACCAGTGATGTTTTGTTGTTCTGTTTCTGTGATCTCTCTTAAAAGCTAAAAGCTTTCTTAGGCATTTGTATACAGATGGGACTTTATCTCCACCATTAAGTGAGAGGTTGCTAACTCACATATATCAAAAGGTTTCTGGCAATTTTGGAAGGTCTCAATATATAGAATGGGTTTTTAACACATTACAATTGATAATTGATAAAGTACTTGTAATCTGTTTCTCATGTAACCTGCATCAGCATAACCAACCTGTCTTCCTCTTTCCCCCCTCCCCTTATTTTAAATCCTACATCACTCTAATCACTTTATGCATTTGATGAAGTGAACTGCAGCTCAACAAAGCTTATGCCTTTTAATAAAATGTGTTATTTGCAAAAGGTGCTACCAGACTCCTCCTGATTTTATAGAATTTATCTTTTTTTCATTTTTATTAACCTTTAATATTTTTTATGTGTCAAATAATTTTTGCAATATAGCACAATGATGCAATCAAACAACATATTTGTGCTTTAGCTTTTAAATACCTAATTCAATATATAGTGAATACTGTCAGTAAATAGAATTCTAGAATAGCACAGTGTGAAGGTAGATGGTGAATTTAAATCTTACTTTAGGTAATATACCTGAACAAAACAATTCACTGGTTTTGAAAAAGTAGAATTGGTAGGGTTTTTTTTTTTTATTGAGTCACTGCTGTCATTTGGTGAATTATAATATCTACTTATTGCATTATTGGAACATTTTAGCAGTAAAGCTTTCTTTTTCATATATTAGATGACTCTGAAGTGCTCATACTTCCAACTGAAAAAAGGAAAGTTATTATGACACTTACCTCCTTTATGAGCCCATTTATGGCCTGCAAACAGATCTTCAGATCAATTTGTTTAATAAGTGACCCTCTGTATGACTGCAAACAACATTAGAAATGAATTTCTTCCCCCACAAAAAAGAATGGATTTATTTTTATTACTTATGTACTCATTATCTGTTTTTTTGCACAGTGAAAACATGATGACAGAATAAGTACCACTTACACATTTATGTATAAATTAAGAATTCGCTTTGGAGAAGAATAAATCTAATACAATGTTGTTTGCTCTTTCTATTTCAGTGTAC